TTACTGCAACTTCCGCCTCCCAGGTTCACGGGACTCTCTTGCCTCAGCCTACAGTGTAGATGGAATTACAGGCACACACGCCCAGCTAATTTTTTGCATTTTTAGTAGAGTTGGGGTTTCACTATGTTGGCCAGACTGGTCTGGAACTCCTGACCTCATGATCCACCTGCCTCAGCCTTCTAAAGTGCTGGGATTACAGGCGTGAGCCACTGCACCTGGCCTCTATCAGAACTTTAAATGTGTCAGGCTTTCAATTCTCCTTTCCTACATCCAGATAAGGGAGTCTCCAGAAAGCCTGGCCACCTCAGTGCAGAGCCCCTAAGATGCAAATCCTCCCCAGGCAAGACAGTTCCGCAGGGGTGCTTCTGTGTGCTGGCTCTCTGAGCAGCCATCTCGAAATACGCAAAAGAAATAGACTTTGGGACAAGCACAGTGGCTCATGCCTGTAATCCCAGCACTTTGGGAGCTAAGGCAGGTGCATCACCTGAGGTCGGGAGTTCGAGACCAGCCTGGCCAACATGGTGAAACCCTGTCTCTACTAAAAATACAAAAATTAGCTGGGCATGGTGGTGCATGCCTGTAATATCAGCTACTCAGGAGACTGAGGCAGGAGAATCACTTGAACCTGTGAGGCGGAGGTTGCAGTGAGCCAAGATTGTGCCACTGCACTCCAGCCTGGGCAACAGACTGACACTGCATCTAAAAAAAAAGAAAATAGATTTTGGGGTAAAATATTTTGCTTTTCTTCAGTGGTTGGGCCACCTGTACACAAAGCCTGAACTCAGGTCCTGCAGGCCCCCCGGTCAGCTTTCCAAAGCTCACCAGTATAAAAGGATTTCAGCCTCTGCCCCTCCTGGCAAGGCTCTCTGGTGGGCCCCAGACAGACATGAAGGAAAAGTCTGGCCTTGACCTTGAGGACCAAGAGCAACCACGCCAGAGGCCAGCGCTCTCATGCCCAGTTACCAAGTGATCACCTGAGGAAAGCCCTTAAAATGCAGGTGCAGTGCAGGGGTCTTGGGGTGGCCTGGGACCCTGCATTGCTAACAAGCTCCCAGGTGACGCCAGTGCTGCTGTTCCAGGAACGATCCTTTGAGAAACATGGGTCTAGAACACACGTTGTAGAACCCAGGCAGAGAAGGGAAAACGAAACGGGGCAGAGGAAACCAGTTCCTGGATTCGCGCCCAGGCAGGAAAAGCGGGGAGGGGTGGGAAGGGGGAGGGGGCGGGACGCTGGCAGGCGGATGGACTTGCAGGCGTTGCAGCCGGGAGGAAGGGGAGGTAACTGAATGCTCCTCCCTTCTGCGACCGCCCACTCCTCTGCCCAGCAGAACCCGGTCCAGGCTGGGGGAGGTGAAGGTGGTGTTTGTGAGCCACACCGCCCCCTCCTCTTGGCACCACCCCCTTCTTCCCCGTCCTTGGATTCTGAAACCTGACGTCATGCAGTTTGACTTTTCCTTTCTGAAAACCAGGGAGCAGAAATGAAACCTAAACGGAGTTGTCTGGGAAATTTGCAATGGGGGCGGGGAGCGCAGGGAGAAATCGGCCCAGGGGAGAACCCTGAGGCCTGCGTTTGCAGGACCCGGCCGGCCTTCTGATTCATGCATTCCAGAAGCACCGAAGCTCGAAGCTGGCTGTGCCGGGATCCTAAGTGCAGCGGCGCACAGTGTGGGCCTGAGGCTGCCGGTGCACCGGGTCCTCAGCCTGGTAGCAGAGGCCAGGCCAGTGCCACAAGGCCAGGCTCCACCGTGCCCGGCCGCCCAGGGGCCTGTGGTGTCAGGCAGGTAAGTCCACTGGGCCTGGAGGACAGGTGTGCAAAAGAAAACGACATCTCAGGACCCCCAACCTCCTTATGTCCAGGGAAACATCAAGCCTGGGAGCTGAGTCCTGCAACCCTGCCACTCTTTTTCCCAAGCAGAGCTCTGTTGTCAGAGGCCCATGCAGAGCAATTCCATACCAGGCACATACTAAGCAGCTCCATCTTAAATAGGAGCTGGGTGAAACCAGGCTGATACCTACTGGCCTGCATTCGCAGTTAAGAGATTCTAAATCACAGGGTGAGACAGGAGGTCAGCACAGGGTCATAAGGGTCCTAAAGACCTTGCTGATAAAACAGGTTGCAGGAAAGAAGCCAGCCAAAACGCACCAAAACCAAGATGGCCACAAGAATGACCACCAGCGCCATTACAGCTTACAAATGCCACGCAATGGCAGGAAGTTACCCTACGTGGTCTAAAAATGGGAGGCATGAATAATCCATCCCTCGTTTAGCACATCATCAAGAAATAACCATAAAAATGTGCAACCAGCAGCCCATTTTTTGCTCTATGGAGTAGTTGTTCTTTTATTCCTGTATTTTCCTAATAAATTTGCTTTTACTTTATGGACTTGCCATGAATTCTTTCTTATGCAAGACCCAAAACCCTCCCTTGGGGTCTAGATCCAGATCCCTTTCCTGTAACACTGTGACATCACAACCCCATGCCCCAGCATTCTACATAACCCAGGCTCCCATAATGACAAAGGCCTCCTGCCTCTGGGACAGCTGCGCTCACAAATTGCTCACAAAGAAGTTCCTTGCTGGCCCCAAGCCTTTCAGGATCCATGTCCCCCCATAAAACACGCACATGCCCATTGTAACCTTAGGGTTGCAACTCACATTTGACTCCTAAAACTGAGTTCTGCTAAGCCTCTTGCTGACAGTGCTTACAAGATTACCTTCCAGGTGCAGAGCAAGGACAAGCTGAGATCAGTCACTCTTCCACCTGCCCTGAGACAGTGGCTGTCTGCAGGGTTGACTCTTGACGCCACTTCTTCAAATGTTTACCATACCTAATGTAAAAGGTGAGATTACGGGCACTCCCTAGCGCCGCACAAGAATCTACCCGTGTGCCGCACTGCTTACCTCCTCTGTTTCTTTGCCTGCACACCCTCTCCCTTTAAATAATAACTTCTCTGTTGGGCATGATGGCTTATGCCTGTAATCCCAGCACTTTGGGAAGCTGAGGCAGGTGGATCACCTGAGGTCAGGAGTTTGAGACCAGCCTGGCCAATGTGGTGAAACCCCATCTCTACTAAAAATACAAAAATTAGCTGGGTTTATATACATATATATGTACATATATATATATTCCCCTTTATATATATAACATATATATAAACATATTTATACATAACACATATAAAGGGGACATATATTATATAGATATATATACGTAAAGAGGAGTTTATTAACTATTAACTTACATGATCACAAGGTCCCACAGTAGTCTGTCTGCAAGCCTGAGGAACAAGGAGAGGCAGTCCGAGTCTCAAAACTGAAGAACTTGGAGTCTGATGATTGAGGGCAGGAAGCACCCAGCAGGGAAGAAAGATGTGGGCTGAGAGCCTAGGCCAGTCTCACCTTTTCACATTTTTCCATCTGTTTATATTCACTGGCAGCTGATTAGATGGTCCCCACCAGATTAAGGGTGGGTCTTAATCTTCATCCTTCCCCAGCCCTGACTCAAATGTTCGTCTCCCTTGGCAGCACCCTCACAGACACACCCAGGATCATACTTTGCATCCTTCAATCCAATCAAATTGACACTCGGTATTAACCATCACACCCTGTGACTGTCATCTCTCTACAATGGAATCTCAAGCAATCCTTTAGAATAGCTAATGGTAACCAATCAAATCTCTGTAAACTATATACCAGCCTTGCATGGAGACTGCTGTAATGCTGTTCCCTCCGGCTTTGCCGGTGTAAACAACCCCTACTTCCCCACACCTCAGAGAACAGACCCCATTTTCTGGGGTCTGCATTTCCAGGCAGCTGTCCTTAAATGTTGCACTTGAATACTCTCTTTAAATTCTGACCCCTCTGATTATTTTAAGTTTGATAGCCTATATACATTTTAGTAGAGGGAGGAAAAGGCAGGACCGAGCTGTGCCTGGTGGGGGCTCCAGAGGCAGAGATAAAGGGGTATTTCGACAGGGTTAAATTCTGCCCACACATACTGAGCAATTGTGGGCATGCTGGACCCCGTGGGAAGCACTGGGAAGATGCATGCTTGATCAGACCTCACCCTGTCTTCATGGAGGGCTGGTCCTATCAAGGAGGTGGCTGTATGCCCAGCTGTCCACCAGAGGCAACAGCACCTTAGGCTGAGCTAAGGCCAGTGAGGGCGCAGGAGGAACCTGATCCAGGCTTTGGAAGCAGAGCCCAGGGGTAGCTGCATAGACAAGACCGAGGTTGGGCCTGGCAGGGGAGATGAATTTTCCCAGGGGCCTGTGGAGGGAGGGTAGCCTGGCACAAGGACAGGCATCAACAGAGCCTCCGAGTGTGATCTGGGTGCTGAGTTCAGGGGTGGCAAGGGGGGACTGAGACTGGATCAGACGTTGCCTGGAAGAAAAGGGGGGCCATTCCCAAACTCTAAGAGTGTGAAACTTACCTCGCAGAAAAAAAAAAGAGTAACTTCCGTTTGTTTGGTAGAGTGTATATTCTCTGCAGCTCAGATGAGAGGTTGTGAGCTTCCTAAGTATAGGAGCTACCTCTTAATTTTAGCCTAGCGAGGAGGCACTGAAGAGCACGGGTGTGGAGAATAATCACCTGGATTGAACCATAGCTCCACCGGTATGGAATCCAGCTCCTTAGGCCTCAGTCTTGTCTTCTAGAACACGGTGTGATAATCCTCCTCCTTTCGGAGGGTGGCTGTTACAGCAAGTGATTGCACCCGGGTCCCTCTAGTTGGCACCTAACACAAACTACATGCCCAGTAGATGTGAGCTGTTGTTGTATGACTGCTGAACGACACCCCCAAAACAGCCACCTGTACTCTTCAGGGACCTGCCACATCATATGCATATTAGAGGCAATGAAGCACCAAAATCTAAGGCCAGGAAGGGACAGGGGCAGGCAAGGAAAGTCCCCAGGGCGTTAGAACTTACGGTGGTAATGCGCCAACTGAGAGTGTGCTATGCCTGCTGTGTTTCTCGGGCAGGGTACCTCACTGCCCTTCCACGTCCTGCCCTGGCTGAGGCTGTGCCTCTACCTGGTGATCAATTGCCTGCAGCTCTTTCTGATTTTGTTCATGAACAAAGGCCCTTAGGGGAACCTCCTGCCGTTGGAAGCAGCAACAGCCTCGCCCAGAGTGAAATCTCTGTTCACATGAGTGCCAGCGCTGCTCGAGCCTACCCTGCGTTCCCAAGGCACTGTTCCTCTTTCAGAAAGCATCAGCCCGTCCTGCTCACACAGCCCCAGGATGTGCTGCTGCCTGGGTTCTTGACTGGGAAGTAACAGGTGCAGAGGGGTCGATGTGTGTGTGTGTTGAGGTGAGGTCATTGCTAGTTCCTGGAAGCACTTGTATTCCCCTTGGATGAAGAATCCCTTCGATGGGTAGCACAGCGCCAGGAGTGGATCCTGCAAAGCAAAGTTGACCTCAGGACAGGGAGCTGGCCGGGGGGCTCCTCCCCCTCTTTAAGTGCAGCAGTATTGAATTTGATTCCATCCAGGTTTCTCCTGACCCTGGGACCTAAAGCTGGGGCAGACTCTGGGCCTTGGGTTTGGTAAGGGTGACCTTTCCTTTTTTTTTTTTTTTTGAGAGGGAGTTTCACTCTTGTTGCCAGGCTGGAGTGTAGTGGTGCAATCTCAGCTCACTGCAACCTCCACCTCCAGGGTTCAAGAGATTCTCCTGCCTCAGCCTCTGGAGTAGCTGAGATTACAGGCATGCACTGCCACACCTGGGTAATTTTGTATTGTTAACAGAGACAGGGTTTCTCCATGTTGGTCGGGCTGGTCTCAAACTGCCGACCCCAGATGATCTGCCCACCTTGGCCTCCCAAAGTGCTGGGATTACAGGCCTGAGTCACCCTGCCCAACATTTCCTAATAAGAGAAATTTTTAGGCGGGGGCTTGTAAGGGACTTTGAGCTGAGCTAAGGAAAACGGAGGTGGGATGCCAACCGCTCCCAAAGAGGAATGCCATCTCCCACTCACAGCCTGTTAGCCGGGAAGGGGAGTCCCCAAAGGGACGGCCACCCATGGGACTGCTTGACCTCAGCCCTCCTCAACCCCTTTCACCCATTTCCACCCTAGGGAGACCAGAAGAGCCAAACTCCAGCGAGACCTAGAAGTGGGTAAAGAGAAACGGGAAAGGAGGAAGATGGTGTGGGTTTGCCCTAGACAGTGTTTGGGACAAGAGGGGCGCAGCGGCCATTGGCACACATGCCTGGGAGTCCCTGCTGGCGCTGGGGTCAGCCCAGGGAGCCCTGGGCGGTAATTGGGTACACCCCCAATTGCCAATGCATCTGTTTTCAAAACCCACCGTAGGGAAGGGCATGTCCGGTAGGTCCAAGGCTACGTGCAGGCTTGGATGACTCTGGGCCCGCGGGAGGCAGGTGCCGCTGGTGCGGGGCCGCGGGGTTAGGTTTCGTTTCTGCAGCAGGAGCCGCCTCCCGCTCCGGGTCTGTGAGTTTCGTTTCTTTGCGTTGCGGGGCGGGGCCGGGCGCGGGGTAAAAGCGGCGGGGCGAAAGGGGAACCCGCAGTCCAGCGCTGCGCAGGGACCGGTGAGTGTGGCGTCTGGGGTCCACGCGCCGTAACCGCACCGCAGCGCGGAGAAGGGCACTGGGAAGGCGGCGTGCGCGGCGGATACGAGCGCTCGGGCGCGGCGGGGCTCCTGCTCGGCTGCTCGGAACTAACAACGATAATAACAACAAGGCGCGCGGACGGGCGGGCCCGGAGCGCGCCTGATTCTCATTCCCACCAGGCTGCCCGGGCTCCTGATTGAGGACTCACCCGAAACACCCGCCGCGCCCGCGGCCACACTGCTGGAGAGGCTGTGAAGGGGCGGGGCAGGTCTCCGAGGGGGGGCTGCGGGGACTCGGGTGGGGGGAGAGTTTCACATCCAGGGCTGCGCGGGCCGGGAGCCACCCGGACGCCGACCCCGGCTGTCAGCGGACTTCTATTTCCCGCGATACCGCGAAAGCAAACCCGAGTCAGAATGCGGAGGTCGCTGGGGAGGGCAGGTCCAAGGAGTCCTCGCCGGTCCTGCTGAGTAAAGCGGGTTCCGAGCTGGGCCGAGGCGGGACGTGCGCGGAAAGACCCCTGCCCGCTGCTCTTTCTTCGCCCTCCCAGGGGATGCGATGCCTGGGACACCCAGGCTGGGCGCGGGGTGCGAACGCACCCTCGGGTTCCAGCGTAGTTGGCCGGGACCGTGGAGTGGGTGCAGGGGACGAAGGGGGGCAGGACAGTCCCGGGGGTGACAGGAGCCCGGGCACGGCTGACACCTGCGCCCCCACCGCACCAACACTCCCAGCGGTGACTCCCCAGCTGGGCAATTGGGGGATTACCCCAGTTATTTGGTCAAATTTTAAATCACGTTTGTTGCTGGAGGCAGGGTCGAGTGATGTTGACCACCCCGCTATCCCCGCCCCCGCGTCAATCCCTAATGGCTCCTAAAATGGCTGCGTCATCTTTCAGCCTTGGACCGGAGTTGCGGGCCAGGAATCGCCCCAGCGTCGCCGCGGACACGCCTCCCGCTGCCTTCCTCGCTCCCTGCCGCCCACCCGCTCGCCCAGCTCAGGGGCTTTGGTAGGTAGCAGTGCATTTGCGCTAAAGTGCAGGATCTTCTCTCTTTCATCCCTAAAACATTTAAATACTAGCAGGGTTTGGGGGGAAAAACGCTTTCAGAAGAGGTGTCAGTCCTGCAAGACTATTAGTTTGAAAACTACGCTGGGTCATGCTGGGGATGTTGGACACTGCTGCATCTTAGGCATTTCCCAGAAGTAGGCAGTGGGTGGTCCTTATTAGGGGTTCTGGGAGAGGAAGGGCGCTGAATCCTCCCTCCCATCCCTGCTCCTCTGTGGGGTCTGAGCTGAGGTACAAGTCCTGGTCTCAATGATGCTACTTGTCTGGGTGCAGAAAGGCCAACGGAGGCAGCCATAGCCCAGAAGACTGGCACTTCTGAGAGGCAGATGCAGTGACGGTCTTTGATATTGAGCCTGGGATGCCCTGGGCACATGAGGTCTTTCCAAAGACATGGGAGTGTTAGGGGATAAATCCCAGATTGTCAGGTTCCATGTAAGTACCTTTTAAAATAGATTGCCTTTTATAACTATCCCACTCCTACCTTACAAAAGGAATACATCCCTCTCTCTCTTTCCAAATCAAACAAGGATGCCTGCCCTGGAAGGGTATAAACCTGGGGAAGGGAGACAAAAAAGATAGTTTTAAGTATTGGTGTCAGGGATGTGTTTTTTTATTTTTTGGTTTTTTTTGTTTTGTTTTGTTTTTTGAGACAGAGTCTTGCTCTGTCGCCCAGGCTGGAGTGTAGTGGCGTGATCTCAGATCTCAGCTCACTGCAGCCTCCACCTCCCAGATTCAAGCAATTCTCCTGCCTTAGCCTCCCAAGTAGCTGGGACTACAGGCATGTGCCACCATGTTCGGCTAATATTTTGTAGTTTTAGTAGAGATGAGGTTTCACCATGTTAGCCTGGATGGTCTCAATCTTCTGACCTCGTGATCTGCCCACCTCGACCTCCTAGAGTGCTGGGATTACAGGTGTGAGCCACTGTGCCCAGCCTGGGGATGTGTTCTTTAGCCAAGGCAGCATGAACCCGAGGCAGGGCTTCCCAACCTTCCTGACTTAGGTGCTTCTGTGAATTCCAGTGTGACAGGAGAAATGGCGTTGGCTCAGGTTGGGATGTGTGCAGCTAGACATGTCACAGAGCAGGGTGACCGGCAGGGGTAATGAGGGGTTTTGTTTTAACAATCTGTCCCTTCAACCCCCGTGGTATTGACAAAGATCACATGGCCCTCGGGGGGGGGGGGGGGGGGGGGGCGGGGGGGGGGGGGTGGTGAGTCCTGCAAGGAGAAGCAGGAAGAGCATCCTCACAGATTATTGATCCAGGCAGCAGATTGGCAGCAAAGCTCTGTGCTTTGTTCATCTGTCTTAGAGTTAAAATAGTCAAAACTTGGGGAAAGGATTCTGGGAAATCGGAATTGGCTTCAAAGCACACCCCTCCTGCATTTGCACCATTCTCAGCCATGGGACTGGGTACAGTACTCTGGGTGGGTGGGTTCTCTCGGGTGGATTTGGGTCTTACTTGTATACTTTTGCGTGATTTCAAGGTGCAGGAGAAAGCTCTGCGATTCCATCTAACTTGTTGATGTTACTTTTATTTGAAGGAAACTATATTGAAGGTAAGTTGGTGCATGCTATTTTCTATAACATTTGAGTCATAAAAGAAAGATTTTCAGTTACTTTTATCCAAGATCATTAGACACCGTAAAATTTCATATTTAGGCACTTGTGGTCCTAGAACATTTTAAAAATGAGTTTCAAATATATACATGTGTATTTGTAATGCAGACAAGTATAGGACAGTTAAATGCTTTCAAGAGTAAAATGAATGACATTTTATTTCCCACATTTGTTGGAGGAAAAGAATGAAAATATGAAATTGATGATCAAAAGAAAGAGCATAAAAGATTTAGAGCTCACACATTTTTTAAACTAAAGGTTTGGGTACCAAAGTTCCATAATATTTGGATTCCCTTGGCTATATTGGAAACAGTTCTATAACAATTTTATTTTTAAAGGTAAAGTTTTTGTTTCTGTTTGTTGTTCTTTTGGAGACGGAGTCTCACCCCATTGCTCAGGCCAGAATGCAATGGTGCGATCTTGGCACACTGCAACCTCCACCTCCTGGGTTCAAATGATTCTCCTGCCTCAGCCTCCCAAGTAGCTGTGACTACAGGCATGCACCACCATGCCCAGCTAATTTTTGTATTTTTAGTAGAGGCAGGGTTTCACCCTGTTGGCCAGGCTAAGCTTCAAACTCCTGACCTCAGATGATCCACCTACATCGGCCTCCAAAGTGCTGGCATTACAGGTGTGAGCCACCTTGCCCAGCCTTTAAATGTAAAGTTTGTATCACAATTGCACCAGAAATTGTATCCTTTGCAACTATTCAAATTTATACTGAAAACATTTTTTGAAGTTTAACCTAAAATGATGACAGGAGATACCTAGTTTTAGAAAATATTTTGGGGAACAGAGGCATATTCTTGAAGCACCTTGAGCAGGGAGGCAGCGTTTGTCTTCATCTGACCTTGACTGTGGGTCCCTCTGCTTCTCTTTCCGTGAGTAAAGCCAGTGAGCACACACTGTCCCAGGCACTCTTCTGCACTCTGGGGACGTCACCATGAACAACTAGTCAGAGTCCCTGCCCCCATGGGCCTTCCCTTCTGGTGGTGAGTTTGGTTCTGTGGCTGAATGTACCAGCTTCTTATCTGTTCAATATGCGTCTGCTTCATCTTAAGCTTAACTTACAAAGAAGGAAGATGGTTCTTTCCGAAGTGGGAGTCGGAAAAGCTGATCCAGCTGCTGAATCACACCATCTATTACTCAATGGAGATGCTAATGTGGCCAAGAAAAATCCGGCCTCGGTAAGTTGCTCTCTGAAAGTTGTTATCCACGTGATGTGAGCTGTGCCGTTCGAGGCAGCCCTTTTCTACAGTGGCGCTGCTGCCCAGAGATGCCTGCCCTCTCGCCTCTCCTATGCCAGGACACAGATCCTGACCCTCTGCTTGCCAACTTACAGCCAAGTGTAGACTCGTTGCCTTAGCTGACCGTGGGTCACGTGCTGCTGGGGTCGGGGACACCGGCTGAGCTGCTGATGGGTGCATGTACCATTGCACAAGGGAGGGAAATGCAGAGCAATGTAAACAGCGGTATCCGGTTGTGGGAAGGTGGCGGTCCTCTCTATTTTTCTACATGCTTCAACTTTTAAAAATATTGTTTGAAAAAATGTTTAACATTGCCTAGGAAAACGGAGCCAGCCTGAAACACACCAATGATCCCCCGTAATAAAAAACTGAGCACTCTCTGGGTGCCTGGACACTCCCTGCACTTACTCCTCACAACAGCCATATAAAGCAAAGACCATTACTCCCATTTTAGAGATGGACAACCAGCCATCTCTTGCCTGGCTGGAAGAGATGTAATTATGTCAGGGTGTGGAAGGAGGAACTCTCACCTACTCATACTCGTCTGCTTTGGAAGCAGCTTGGCATTTTCCAGTCAAGGAGAACAGAGTGTGTCTTGTGATCTGGCAGTTCCACTTCTGGGGATAGACTGCGGTTCTCAAAGTATGGCCCCCAGACCAGCCCATCAGCATCACCTGGGAAGTTGATTGAAATGCAAATGAGCAGCCCTGCCTCCTACTCTCAGACCTGGTAAATTGGATACTCTAGGGCAGGGCCCAACACCTGTTCTTTACCAGACTCTCCAGGTGATTCTGCTGCATGCTAGAGTTTGAGACTCTTGCACATCCCCCCTGGGAGCCACGTGCATAGCAGCACTGTTTATAACAGCAAAACCCCAACTCTCCACGTGCCCGTCATGGTGGAATGCATACTGGCGTGTGGTACGTTCATGCAGCAGAATTCTATACAGTAGTAAAAATAAATGAACTCGAGTTCCAGGCATCAAAATGGCTGCATCAGATGAACAATATTGAACCAAAAAATCAAGTCACACAAAAAATATACAGAATAATTCCACTTATATAAAATTCCTAAACAGGCAGCAATAAGCAATATACCGTTGTGGGAAAAACATATAGGTGGCAAAACTATAAAGAAAAGTGAGGACATGATGACTGCAAGCCTCAGGATAGAGGGACCCTCTGGAGGTGAGGCAGTAACAGAAAGGAGGGGACAGGATCTGCAGGACGTGAAGAATCCTCCATTTTTGCTTCCTCCAGGCGGCCGAGAACAACCTGTACAGCCAGTACGAGGAGAAGGTGCGCCCCTGCATCGACCTCATCGACTCCCTGCGGGCTCTGGGTGTGGAGCAGGACCTGGCCCTGCCGGCCATCGCCGTCATCGGGGACCAGAGCTCGGGCAAGAGCTCTGTGCTGGAGGCGCTGTCGGGAGTCGCCCTTCCCAGAGGCAACGGTACGAACTTACATTCTGTATTAGTCTGCTCAGGCTGCCATAACAAAATACCACAGGCAGGGGGGCTTACACAACAGAAGTTTATTTTTTCACAGTTCTGGAGACTGGAAGTCCAACATCAGGGTTTAGTTTCTCCTGAGGCCTTTCTCCATGGCTTGCAGGTGGCTTCCTTCTCACTGCTCCCCCACAGGACCTTCCTTCTGCCCACAAGCATCTCTGCTGTCTCTTCCTGCCCTTCATAAGGGCATCAGTCATATTGGATTGGGGCCCAACCTAGTGACCTCGTTTAACCTTAATTACCTCTTTAAAGCCCTTATCTTCACATACAGTCCCATTAGGGGTTAGGCATTCAATGTAAGAATTTGGAGAGAACACCATTTTATAACACTATCCCATTACACTTTTTTTTTTTTTTTTTTTTTTACATAAGCTGTATGTAATCTACAGTTTGTGGAGGATCTGAATAAATGCATTTGGGTTCCCCAGTTCAGAACTATATCTGCGAGGGCTCAAAGAAAGAGTTCAGGCCTGGGATGGGTCTTGCATGGCCTACAGGTCAGGCATGGTAGGTAGGATTTGGAAGGAGTTTATATTAGGAGGACAGTGGTAAGTGGCCTGGTGGCAGCCGGATGCCTTCCTAATAGGGGGTAGAGTGTGTATGTTAGGGGCATAATGTAAGTTTGGGGGGTTTCCCAACATAGCTTGCCACCTGAGCTAATGGCAGAACACTGGGATGAGGCTTTAAGCTGAAAGTGGTGGCATTCAAGCATTAGTGAGCAAAAACTCACCTGGGTTACATATTCAGAATGCATGTTCTTGAGGTCACCCAGACACAGTGTGAGGTCCCCGCATATCAGAGGGTAAGACCAGAAAGTTTCCAGTTTTAAATGTCTCCCCAGATGATTGTATACAAGTCTGAGAACCATGGGCCTAAGGCCCTATGTAGATCTCTTAAGAGCACAGTGGAGCACTGATGTGGGCATGGCCTCCTAGGGATTGTGACCAGATGCCCGCTGGTGCTGAAACTGAAGAAACTCGTGAATGAAGAAGAGTGGAAAGGCAAGGTCAGTTACCAGGACTTCGAGACTGAGATTTCGGATGCTTCAGAGGTAGAAAAGGAAGTTAATAAAGGTGAGTACCACTGTTTGGATGCCTGGCCCAGCCTTCGACACGCATGGGGTCTGCTTGTGACTGTTCCTACTCCCACCTCCCTGGGCCTGTGCTGTTCCCTTAGTAATCTTTTCTCCTGCACATCAGGCCCCAGTTCCTTGTACTTCTTCCTTTATCTCATTATGACCAACACGCTTGGATCTCAGCATCTGAGAGCAATAATTTGTTTCTGGCCAGGCATAGTGGCTTATGCCTATAATCCCAGCTCTTTGGAAAGCTGATGCGGGAGGATTGCTTGAGCCCAGGAGTTTGAGACCAGCCAGGGCAACATAGTGAGATCCCTTCTCTTAAAAAAAAATTTTTTTTAAATAGCTGGGCATGGTGGCATATAGCTGTGGGCCCAGCTATTTGGGAGACTGAGGTGGGAGAGTTGCTTGAGCCTGGGAAGCCGAGGCTGCAGTGAGCCTTGATCTTGCCACTGCACTCTAGCCTGGCAACAGAGTGAGATCCTGTCAAACAAACAAAAACACCCACCGTGTATTGCATATTATGTAAGTATCTAGAATAATGTGATTTTTAAAATATAAAACTTGTCTCCAAATATGGATGATCTGTCCCTCATTCAAGGACTTCCCCACTTAGATCCAGCAGAAGAGGAGCCAGATGAGGGGGGTGAGGGAGCTCCTCTCCCTGTTCCTGTGTATAACACATTTTATATTGTGGACTGGATCATCACTGAACCCCACTCAGAACCAACACCCTTTTCCTAAGAAAGGGGAGTGCCTGTGATTGCATAATCCCAGCTTAGGCTAACTCATGGCAGGCCTCCACAAATGCAAACCACAAAGGTCAGTTTGAAATGCCTGCAAGGAGAAACAACACAGCAGTGTAGACAGGGCAGAGTAGCTGACAGAGCAGCCACTGTGAGACACATGGGTAACATCTTCCTATTGACTTACATTTTATTCTAGTGTGTCACATGGTTACATTTCATTCACACCGGGAGGGTACTGAAGTGACATGAACTGATGCCCAGCAGTAGGAAGGGACAGGTTTAGCTTTTGTAAAGATGGAGCATTAATCGCATTTGTTGACTGTTTATAAAAAGATAAATGATGTTACTGACAAACCATGATTTTGTATTAGTTGAGATGAGGTTGGCTGCCTGCAGCAGAAAACTCAAAATAACTGTGTGTGTTAGTCAGCCCTTGCTGTGTAACAAACGCATCTTAAAACTAATGGCTTCACTGTTTTCATTTCTCATGATTCAGTGGACTGGCTGGACAGTTCTTCTCTGGGCTGGCTGGGCTGGGGCTGATGGTCCAGGTTGGCCTTTGGCTGGAATGACCAGGCCTTCTCTCTGTGTGATCGCTCACCCTCCAGAAGGCTAAGCCGGACTTCTTAATGTGGTGGGTGGAGGTGTTCCCAGCAGCAAGAGAGGGCAAGACACAACATGTAACACCTTTCAGTCTCTCCTGGCATCACATTTTGTAACATCCCCTTAAAGAAAGTCACATGGCCAAGCCAGATTTCAAGGGACAGATTCTCTGTCAGTGGAAGTGATAAAGCTACCCTCTAAAGTAGTATGTGTACAGGGGTGGAAGGGAATGTGGATGCCATTTGTGCAGGTGAGTTGCTAACGCAGTGTTCTAAACAATGTAGAAGCTCTCTGTCCTTGTCATATAAGTCTGGAGCAGGGCAGACCAGAGCTGACTGAGGGTTCCAGTGTCAGGAACCAAGACTTATGCTTATCCCATTTCTTCATTGGGTGTGGCCTCTGTTTCCAAGGCCCCCTGTGACTTAGCAAGTCCACTTTCAAGCCATGTCTCCGGACCATGGCAAGGGCATGTCTCCACTTTTAAACACACTTTCTGGAAGTTGCATGTGACATTTTCGCATGGCTTGTTGGCCAGAACCCAATCTCGTGACCGCGTGTCAGGTACATGGATATCGGGGGAAACATTCGTAGACATGTCACATGTTCCACTGTTATTTCCTAAGTTCTAAATTGATAGCAAACATCCCCAAAAGACATTCTAGATGTAGAAAAGAGTAAAGTGGTGTTAGCCAACAATTTGATGAAACAAATTCATATCCTAAAATTTTCATTTTTAGGGAGAAAGAAGCCAAATAAAATCTCTTGATGGGATGTTAACAGCCAGTGCTTAGCTAAAATAAGCACATTTTCCCATATAATTTTCCAGTTTATATTTTAGAAATTTCCATATATTTGTATTTGTTTTTATTTTGCTTGGTTGCTAATTTCCTGCTGACAGCAATGAGAAGGATGTAGGAATGCTACTGGGAAGAACTCCTTGCCTCTGCCCAGCTTTGGACTGGTCTAAGTGGGTATCACTCAAGGTGATGTTCTCACAAGGTCCCTCTACACACAGTCCTGGCCACCAGCAGGGAAAACACTGAGTTATCCTTTGAGATCCCTTTAGTCCCAATCACAGAAAACTGAATCTGCTCCAAATATGCTTTTATCCATGACTCGCAGAGAGTAGAAGAGGCTTTCAGAGTATTCATTGCCATGAGATCCTTGAATCCTAAGCTCTGTTTGTGCTTGATTCTCTCCCTCTTCTCTAGCCCAGAACGCCATTGCCGGGGAAGGAATGGGAATCAGTCATGAGCTAATCACCTTGGAGATCAGCTCCCGAGATGTCCCAGATCTGACTCTCATAGACCTTCCTGGAATAACCAGAGTGGCTGTGGGCAATCAGCCTGCTGACATCGGGTTTAAGGTCAGATTTCAGACTCTAATACCTTTACTGTATTAGAGTAATGGTGAGTCCAGCGCTGAGTTGTGGAGAGTTGGTATTTGGAGGTACGAGTGAGGAATTTAAAGAGCCCATTGGTCACGGTCTCCTCTGACGAGTTCGATGGAAGCTTCCTTGGAGAAAGTGAAGCGAACAGGCACAGCTGGAAACGTGTTCTATGTATTTGTTTTGTGTTTTATACAATGACTCATTTTTGGTTATAGTTACATTCTGCAGTGTATCTAAAATGCTGTGTATTAGGAAGGGGTTTTATGTGTGAAGAGAGAACATTAAAAATAAGTATAGTCAGGCACAGTGGCTCACGCCTGTAATCCCAGCACTTTGAGAGGCCAAGGCAGGTGGATCACAAGATCAAGAGATCAAGACCATCTTGGCCAATATGGTGAAACCCCATCTCTACTAAAAATATTTTAAAAATTAGCCGGGCATGGTGATGCGCGCCTGTAGTCCCAGCTACTCGGGAGGCTGAGGCAGGACAGTTGCTTGAAACCGGAAAACGGAAGTTGCAGTGGGCCGGGATCACACCACTGCACTCCAGCCTGGTGATAGATACTCAGTCTCAAAAAATAAAAATTTAAAAATAAGTATAATGGGCCACACACAGTGGCTCATTCCTGTAATCCCAGCACTTTGGGAAGCTGAGGCAGGAGGATTGCTTGAGCCCAAGAGCTTGACACAAGCCTGAGCAACACAGTGAGACCCCTTCTCTATAAAAGAAAAGTTAAAAAATTAGCCATGTTTGGTGGTGTGCACCTGTAGTCTCAGCCACTGGGAGGATTGCTTGAGCCAGGCAGGCTGTGATGAGCCATGATTGTGCCACTGCACTCCAGCCTGGACAGCAGAGGAAGAGCCTGAAAAAAAGAAAAGAAAGAAAGAAAGAGGAATGATATTTGAGTATCAGTGAATCTCACTTTACAGGTTAACGATTTAGGGGTCAAGCAGGTTTTTTTGGCCATTGTTTTTCACTGTGACCATCAGACCTGAGGTCTTAGGGGATAATTAACTGAAACCTCAGAGTTTTCCCTGAGCCTAGAGCTCTGTTTCTGCTGCAGATACTTATTTTCTCATAATTCCAGCTTGGGAGGTACCTCCAGGGTGGGGTTTATTGGTTCACTTCTCCAAAGTTACTTCTTTTGGGGGAAATACCCCTGGGACTCTTAGGGCCTAAAGCAAGCACAAGGTCAGAACCTGTCTCACCTCTCACTTGCCTTTGCCTTTGCCATACTCTATGTATTTGTTTTGGTCACCTCCCATTTCCTTACAGATCAAGTCACTCATTAAGAAGTACATCCAGAGACAGGAGACAATCAGCCTGGTGGTAGTCCCCAGTAACGTGGACATCGCCACCACGGAGGCGCTGAGCATGGCCCAGGAGGTGGACCCCGAGGGAGACAGGACCATTGGTGAGAATGGGGGAGGCTGTATGTGGTGGGTGGTCTGCCAGTGGGGAAGTGTCCCTCAAGTCTGCATGGGCATTGCCACATCGCTTGGTGGGGACCTGCCTCCACTAAGACCTGCTAAGGGGCAGGTTTGGTGCCCACTCAGGCCAAGTGAAATGAGCTACTTTGGCTCTTGTTGACAAGGTTTCTTGTAACCCTTATCTATATGCTCAGAAAGGCACAGAAGGCTCAGAAGCAGGGCAAACTCAGGAAGCAAATGGTATTCATAAATAATGCATTTGAGGTGGGAGCAACACAAATGTCCATAACTAAAGGGACAAACAAAATGTGGTGAAGGAGGTGGGAAGGGAAGGAAGGAAGGAAAGAAGGGAAGGAAGGAAGATATTTGAGTATCAGTGAATCTGACTTTACAGATTCAAGATTTAGGGGTCAAGTGTGTTTTCACAGGACAAAGGAGCTTGGGGAGAGCCACACGCTGTTCTGAGGGGCACCCCTGCCTTCATGCGGCTTGCTCTGGCATTCTTTCCTGGAATGGGACTCCGCTGGCCCCATGGATCTGCGGAGGCCATGGGCTACCCTCAAGCAAAGGGGGAGGAAACCCTGGGAGGCCGGAGCGTGAGCAGTTGTTCGTTCACCTCTGCCTTGTGACTGGACACGTTGTCCCACCAAAAACATCTGGCTTGCAGGAATCTTGACGAAGCCTGATCTGGTGGACAAAGGAACTGAAGACAAGGTTGTGGAAGTGGTGCGGAACCTGGTGTTCCACCTGAAGAAGGGCTACATGATCGTCAAGTGCCGGGGCCAGCAGGAGATCCAGGACCAGCTGAGCCTGTCCGAAGCCCTGGAGAGAGAGAAGGTCTTCTTTGAGGGCCACCCATATTTCAGGTGCGCTCACCTGGGTTTCATCACGGATCAGTGCAAGCCTAGGAAGTCAGTCCTCCCTGAGGAAAGTGGTGGCCACCCTACAGATGCATGGAGTGTGTGTGTGACTATGCTTGTTCGCCAGCAAGGACTATGGAATTCAGCTTGAAGAATAGAAAGGGGATCACAAAATACTGGGAAAAAAATAACCCTAAAAACCAATCAAAATAGGGAGAGAACAGTGTACAATAATTTAAATAGCATGGTGCTGGAACTATATTTTATAAAAACATAAATAGAAGAGAATAGAAAAAAAGTAGAAAGCCCAGAAGTAGACTCCGATATGTACGTTTGATACATGATAAGCACGGCATTTCAAACAAAATGATGAACTGTATCAGCTTGATTATCAATTAATAATGTTGGATAATTATTATTATTATTTTTGAGATACAGTTTTGCTCGTTGCCCAGGCTGGAGTGCAATGACATGATCTTGGCTCACCGCAACCTCCACCTCCTGGGGTTCAACTGATTCTCCTGCCTCAGCCTCCCGAGTAGCTGGGATTACAGGCATGCACCACCATGCCTAGCTAATTTTGTATTTTTTGTAGAGATGGGGTTTCTTCATGTTGGTCAGGCTGGTCTCGAACTCCCGACCTCAGGTGATCCGCCCACCTTAGCCTCCCAAAGTGCTGGGATTACAGTCGTCAGCCACCACCCCTGGCGGGATAATTATTTAATATTTGGGAAAAAATTCAAATACTGCTCTTACTTACCTCATTATATCAAAATAGTTGAAGTCTAAAGTTAAATCTCACCCCATTATGCTAAAATAGTTGAAATTTAAAGTTAAATGTTAAAAAAAAAAAAGCAATCAGCATCCCAGAAGAAAAGGTTGGTGAATAGGTTATAAGACCTTTCTATCCCTCCTGCCCAAAGTGAAATTTTTGAAAAGGAAAAGACTGATAAGTTGGTAAGATTTAAAATAATGAGACTATGTAGCATTGTAAACATTCTTGTACTCAATTCTCCCAGAACTCTAGAGAGGCATTACTCAGAGTTCTAGGAATATCAAACAGAAATTTCCATGCCCTTCTGCACATTCACAATAGCCAAAAGATGAGGTGACTCGGTGTCCAGGGACAGATGGATGCAGAAAGCAATGCAACATAAGATGGAATACCATTCAGCCTTAGAAAGGAAGGACATTCCAGCACAGGCTACAACGTGGTTGAAGCGTGGGAACATTATACTAAGTGAAAGAACCCAGTCATAAGAGGACGGATACTGTCTGATCCCACTTATCCGAGGTCCTCAGAGTAGTCAGATTCATAGAGACAGAAAGAATGGTGGGTACCAGGGCCTGGGGGAGAGAGAATGGGGAGGTGGTGTTTACCGGGCCATTGTTTCAGTTTGGGAATATGAAAAGCTCTAAAGATGGATGGTGGTGATGGTTTCAGAATAGTGCGAATGTAGTTAAGGCCACTGAAGTGTGCACTTAAAAATGGTTAAAATGGTCAATTTTATGCTGTATGTATTTTATCACACAACTTTTAAAAATGGACATAGAAACTGAAGCTTAGGTATGAGTATACTCTCACAAAAAGGCACAGAAACTCATGCTTTTCTGCTGCCTGTATCCTAAAATGTCCTGTAAAGTGTGGGCAACCTTGGAATAACTTGCCCTGTGAGCACAAATTTGGATCGAGTGACAAGACGTTTGGCTTCCATCCTCCAGGCAGCCCATGGTTTAAGTTCTTATCTCAGGCAAGGTCGCGGTCTCCTCTGTTCAGTGATACTCCACCCATGTGTCTAAATATGCTTCAGTGTATTCGTATGAAGACTATGCCTGTGTCCATTATGATTACTCACACGTATTACAAATGGAAGGGGGTACGTGTTATAAAAACGTATCTATATATGTCTGTGTATTTCTGTGATGACCAATTCTATAGTCAGATATTATGAGATGCATTTATTATATCAGCTAGAAGGGCTCATTCCATATCATTGTTGAAATATCCTAGGTTGCTAAAGTTCAGCCATAATCCTATTCAATCCAGTTCTGAGTATTTGTTGGGTACCAATTACAAGGTGTTCCATCCAGTGGTAAGCAATTGAAATTTGCCTTGACTTTCCCCAACAGCAGAAGGCAGACGTGCATGTTCTGGCTACATCAAGGTGGAAATCGATCTTGTGTTCTCTTCTAGGGATCTGCTGGAGGAAGGAAAGGCCACGGTTCCCTGCTTGGCAGAAAAGCTTACCAGCGAGCTCATCACACATATTTGCGTAAGCACAGGCAGAGCTGTGGGTTCTCTAAAAAGTATACTACGAACACAGAGCTGAACCTTGCTGGTTTCTTAAACATTACTGTACACACAGATCTTCTGAAGATCTTAAGAGGCAGATCAGATTCTGTGGGTCTGGAGTGGGGCCTAAAATTCTGCATTTCCGGCAAGCCCCCAGGTGACACGGATATTGCTTTTCAGGGGACCACAGTCTGGGGGTGCCGATAGACTGTATCTACTGGGCCAAAATAAAAAATTAAAATCTTATGCACATGCTACTAACTCTTCCTTTGTCATTGCCAGCCACTATTATAGTGTCTTAGTCATTGTAATGAGCATATTTTTTAACTTCTAAAAGCTTCGTAAAAGCTCTCTGCAGTGGTTCTTTCTAAAATCTGCCTGAATGTAGTCT